GTTATCTTTTTTAAGTTAATTTTTACTTCATAGTGTCGATGTAAACTCACATGAACCAGAAAATTTATGATCCAGCTTTGTTTCAGTCCCACGGGTAGCTACTGGATTAGAGATTCGTTCTGTAGTACTAGTAATAGAAATAGTATAGTAGTAATGAAAATAGTAGTACCTGTAGTACTAATACTGTAGTACAGTACTGTAATGGTGTTAGTAGAATAATAAGATGATGAATATAGAGGAGGACAAGAGACTCTAGGTATGTTTCAGAAAATATGAAGGAGTTGGCATTCATAGTGGCCGAAGGTAACTTACCATTTTTTGAGGCCGATGAAGAGTGTTTTTTGAGAAATTAAATTTGTATCACAAGAAACAATTATCTCTTCTATTTGGCAAAGTTAGTACTTGAGGGTTCCACAAAAATGTGATTCTGTACCTGTACAGTAATAATCATGCACTTTCCCTGTCAACAATTCTGTGTTCAACTGGTAAAGATACAGTATGCATTGAAACTCTTGTAATCTTATACCAACACTTAAGGATGTGTCATGTTAAAAATCATGATTGTTTTACATCAGTTTTTTTAGATTGGTGCATCCTGTGTGGCAGTCACTATTTATCTTCCTGAGGAATAATTAAGAACTGATATTTCATGCTCCTGCTATGTTTTATAGAGGAACTAGATTTTTACTGAACAAATATTAATAGAATTTGCATGTTAACTAACACTTAGTTTGTTTGAAGAAAAAAAAAATTTTTTGTTTAAATAGATTTTGTAAAATGAAAATCTTTATACTGATTATTTTCCCATAGATGTAGTGTTACACTGTGCTGTATATGGAGTATGCATTCGTGGGGGCTGATTTTCAGACACCTTGTGCAACTCCAACTGACCAAACAAAATACTGTACGTACCAAAGAAATAATAACTTAAAAAATTAGTACAGTACATCACTAAATATACAGTACAGTGAACCCTCACTTTACGCAGTTAATTCAACCCACGGCGGCCCGCCTAAAGTGAGAAACGCGTAAAGTGAACAACATAACATATGGGATTAATTGAAATAGAGACCGGGCCAACCCCCAAACTCCACTTTTTCCCGACACAATACGTACGTTTTACTAGAAATAACACCTTAACTTTATGATGGTATTCACCCACACATAATACAGAAGGGAACAGTCAATACAGTCAATAAGAGAAGAATAAACTGAAGGTTAGGTTAGAAAAAAACAAGGTTGGGGTAACACTTACGTTAGTAGAAGAGATGGGTCGGCGTAGGGGAATGGAGGCTGGTTCCGAGGCAGAGGGCAGGCTACTGGCCCTCAGGTGAGTCTTCATCGGTGTCATCCACACTTACTAGTGCCTCCCTGACAAATCCCTCAAAGTCATCATCACTGTCTCTGCCTGTCACTATCACTGGCTTGGGCTGGCTGTGGTGGGTTGCGGGCGAAGAACTTTGTTATGCTTTGCTGATGGCTGATGCTTATGTTGTCGTGATAAACCTTGATGTAGGGCTCCATAGTCTGCAACAGCTGGGTAGTGAAGATTTCATACCTGTTTGCGTCAGGGTCGTCGGAAATGAGGAGCTTGACTTTCTCAATACACTCGATGGCACCCCTAACATTACTATGGGATAAGCAGCGTTCTTCTTGTGATGACGCACCACCTGCCTCTTCACTGACGTCATCATCATCTACCATCTCGTCGGTAGTCACATCAGGATCCCTTATCACCTCCAGGATGTCGTCGTTGGTGGTCTTGGAGAAGCCTGCAACTGTAACACTCTGCGCAGCTTCTCTGGCAAGGTCCACTGCTACTGCAACAGTCTGAACCTCACCAGTCACAGATTTACTCTGCCTAACACCCGGAATGCCTTGCAACACATGTCTCCATGCGTGACGAACAGTTGCTAAAGACAGCTGATCCCTTGCCTCCACTAAGAAGTCCACAGCTTTCTTGAAGTTGAATGTTCTCCAGAATTGTTTTAAAAGTACTTCTTGCTCTGCCAACTGTTGATTCTCGTTGTCTTCGCTCTTGCTATCGGTGTTGGTGTCACTCAGGTTATGCAACTCTTCCTTGGTGTTGGTGTAGTCGTTCAGGAGGTTGAATTTTTTAGCAGAGAATGCAGCTTTTACATTACAGATCAATTCTTGGTCCATGGGCTGTAATATAGACGTAGTGTTGGGAGGAAGGAAGACCACTATTACGTTGGGGTGACGATCTAACAGTAGGGGCGAGTGTCCTGGTGCGTTGTCCAGCAGCAACAAAATCTTGAATGGCACATTATGTTGCTCACAGAATTTCTTCACATTGGGAACGAAACAGTCGTCAAACCAGGAGAGGGTCAGTGTAGAGAACATCCACGCCTTACGTGCGGTCAGCCAGTGGACATTTAGCTTGGTCATGTCCATGCTCTTGTGCGGCTTGCGTGCTATGTGGATCACCGATAACTTGAGCTTCCAGGTACTGGAGGCATTGGTGGTAAACAGGACGGTGATGCGCTCCTTCTGAAACTTCCGGCCCCGACACTTGCTGGCATTCTTCACAACGAAGGTCTTGGAAGGTAGCTTTTTCCAAAAAAGACCAGATTCGTCCATGTTGAACACCTGGTCGTCGGTGTACTGTCCTTCCTCCATAATCTCACGTAAAAACGGAGGAAATTCCCTAGCCGCAACACGGTCAGCACTAGCTTCTTCACCACCAATGTTGATATTGGTGATCTTGTTTCTCTTCTTAAACCTCTGTAACCACCCAGAGGAAGCATTAAAGGGTTTGGGCTCTGTAATTCCCATCTTTCGTGACACTGCAGCATACAGTTCACGTGCGTACTCCTTAACTGAGCGCGTGTCCACCGCCATGTTCCGTCTCGCCTGACGCACTAAGTAGCTCACAAGTAATTTTTCTGTCTTGAGAAGCACCTGGTTGTGGCAATACCTGATCATAGAAGCACCTGTAGACTTTGTGATGTTCATGTGCTCCTTTATCTCCAACTCTTGTATGATCTTATACTTAATTTCGTAGCTTAAGGAACGTCGTGTCTTCTTTGGCTTATGGCGGCTGGGTCCAGGTAATGCAAGGTTTCTTTGTGGTGGTGGTGGTCTGATGGAAGCCATTCTTATGGAACAATGGATACCGATATTCACGGTGTAGCCTGGAGGGGTGTAACTGACGCGGTAGGTCGAGGGGCTTGAACGCTCCCGCGGCGGGGCACGTCATAGTACTACATTAAACCAATCACAGCTAGCAGGGAGGGAGGTAAGGATGCTTTGCCCAATCACAGGCCGCTACGTCATATGACGTCACCGATAACGCAACAGAGACATACACTGCGCAACCTACTCGCGCCGCTTACACAACATGGCGGATGGCGGGAGGTTTGGATCCAAAAATGGCGCGGCGCGAGAGGACCGCCAGCCGCTCTCCGCGTAAAGGGGTACACGCACCGCGGAAAGTGAGCATTCCGGTTTCGGCAGGGTACCGCGTAAACGTGGAAACGCGTAAAGTGGGACCGCGTAAAGCGAGGGTTGACTGTATAATTAAATTAATACACACCCCAAAAACAGTAAAACAGGACTCTGCCCCCCCCCCCTCCTTTTTCCTCCTACCCCTCCCTCCAAAAAAAGAATTAGCGTTCACCAAAAATTGGAGTAGAGATTGCATGTCAAGTACTGGAGCTGTGGGGTACCTGCATAGGGAACCATATTTGGTGGAGTAGTACAGGTTATAGTGTAGTGGTTCACTTAAAGTAGTTTGGGTACAACTTTCAAAAATTGTACAAGAAAAATGTGTATCAGGCTATCAGCAAAATACCTTTGCACACAGTGAAAAATGTTCACTCGTCGTTGTCACAAAATGTTTTATGATTATTTTCCACGCATGTGTTGGTTAGCCTTAGTTACTTGATGGCAGCCCTTCATACTTCACTGTCACTCTTTGCTTATTCCTTGTTCTCCTTCCCACATGCCCAAACTATCTTAACCACTACGACCATCAACACCCCAACATTATCTGATGCTTTCAGCATTTATGCACCTAATCATTATCTTCCAGCTGCTTTTCCATTCTTCATTTTGTTATGTGCTTTCTTTACCAATTTTCTTTTAGTCTTTGGGTATGGTCCTTGTATTGGCTCTGTTGCTCCTAGGCACCCCCTGCCCCATTCATACTCCTCATTCAGCTGTCGATTATAATATTTTCACCAGTATCCTTGATTTCCTCGTTATGAACAACCACATTACTGTACCATGGTCATTTCTCACACACCTTATCAACAGTGTCCTTGTTTCTACACACTATTTATCTTACTACAGGTATTAAGCATTCTTGCAATTGAATCCTGTTCATGCTTTTTACCCTTCCTCACCATTCACACCTTCATAACTCTGAGTTGTACACCAACATAGGTTTTTAGGCCACCAACTAATGCTATAATTTTTCTTGAACCATTCAGCATATAAACACACCCTGATGATTTTGCATTTTGTCAAAAAGAATTTATATTTTTCCATGCTGTAATTGTGTATACAGTACAGTATTTTAAATTTTTATAGCTTGGGACTTTGATGACATGCGTAAATGTCTGCAATTGTAATACTGTATACAATTATCTCAAAATATTTCAACATCTTAAGTATTCCAGTTAAGATTGCTGACAGTGTTTGTCAAATTATTACACTTTTTTCTTCCTGTATTGACCCACTTTTAGGTACAGTAGCTATAACTTATATTGCATAACAAGTTTGTTTTAGTGACATTTTAAAGAAATGTGAACATTGGTATCTTTTTTCACATTATTCATCTTAATATTATACAAGTGCCACTTATCCTGTTGACTGACACCTTAACATTATCAATTTTACTGTTGGTTTTCCATAATATTCTGGGATTTTTCATACTCTTCAAATGTTCTCTCTATAAGGAGTTTGTTTGGCTGTGGTTATGTTTAATAAAGGTATGAGGAATTTCCAGATATGTAACGTGTAATTTCCTTTGTTAGGTGGTGTGTCAGTTTGGTGGAGAGGCAGAGCGACACTTGTACCGGGTGCTGATTGGTCACCTGGAGTGGTCTGGACCTCAGGGAGAAAGTCATCGACCCTCACCAAACAACAATAATAATAATAAGGTAGAATAAACTGATACAATAAGAATTTTGATATTTCCGATGTTGACCTTTTGTGTCTTGAGATATTAGAGTACAAACTAAGATTACAGTATTAATTCTTGACATTTCTTAGAAACAAAATTGGAAGAAAATTTGCCTTTTGATCTCAATGATTCAAGTGTATGTTGAAAATTTAGGACTTTTATTTACTTTGAGTTGATACCAGGTGTAGGCAACATTATTACTGTAAGACAAGTCTACAGGTTGAAAACCCAGGGTTCCCATGTTCCTCAAAGTAATTGACTGAACTAATTTGATAGAAAATGGGTCAGGCAGGGAAAGGATACCACTCAAGGCTGAAAGTTAAGGAGTCTTCATTCTGACACTAAAATTGCATGCACATTTTGGCCCATACATGACTACTATAAAGTTTTTTAGGGGATTTATTTACAAACAAATGACTTTGGGTTGGATTATACTGTACTATTCGGAAATGGAAAAATTACTCTCTTGACAACTACAGCCCTTGTAAAGGAGTTGGGGGATCTTGGAGACATCAGTTGCCAGTTGGTGCTCATGCAAGTTTTATGAAGATTCAAAGTTGTGAAAAGGAGAAAGGGTCCCATGGGTTGTTTTATGAAGGCTATTAAAAAAATATCCGAAGTAATAATGAAAATATATTATACTGTACTGTATATAATTCAGGTTCTTTTACTATCAGTATGTTTACTTTTTTCACTAACTTATTTCATTATTCTCTAACACTCGTAATGTTGTTATTCTACAAATAAGTCTTATAATAGGGAGATGTACTGTACTGTACTGTACAGTCACCCAAAAAAGTCCTGTCGCGAACCACGAGCCCCGAGATTCAGACTCGTGAGCCCGAAGCAGTAGACACTGATACATTATTCTGTCCATAAATGCTTTGGATTCACGAGTCTGAATCTCGGGGTTCATGGTTCGCGACAGGACTTTTTTGGGTGACTGTACCTTAGTTTTTAACCCATAGACTTGGTGATTAATATAAAGTTACCTAGTTGTGGACTCTTCTGTGAAATGTGATTTGGGGATTAGCCTTTTAATCTTGTTGCAGGGATATTTTTATTATGTGTTTTTGTTTCTTTTTAGGACAAGGAGGTTGCTTCCAGTGTCGGTGCGTCCACCCTTACGTGGTCATCCACTAGTGGTGGGGCCGGTGCCCTCCTTCTGCAACATTTGGCTGCCACTCTTCCTCCAACTTCTTTTATTGCCAATCTTGCCTTTGCCACTGCCAATCCACCCAATTCCAACAAGGTAATTTTTTGTGTTAAGTAGAGTTTCACTGATAAATGATAACTTTAAAGAAATTTCATTTGCACACAAATTCTGTGTGCAGAATTTTGATCTTGGTATGTGACACACCATCTCTGATGTACTGTTTGAAGTATTAAATCCAATCTTCTTCTGTCATGTGTATTTTAGTTTTAAGATTTTAGATTCTCTCAAATTTTGCAAACAGACCCAGAAAGTGAAGGGTAGTATTATTATTATCTCCAAATTTCATGTGAATTATATGCTAATTACAACTAATTATGTGAAAGAAAGTACATAATGAAACAAATACATTGTAGGTATGTTTTGCTTTCTTCAGACAGCTTTTATTATTGGTAATTGATATGATGGTGATAGTTAATTTTGCTTCTTACAGCTCATCAAGCCACAGTGGGTTAGTGGAGTGTGCAAGGCACTCAGACTTTCCCGCTTGCAGGAAATTACTCTTTGTTTGTATATTCTCCAAGCTACCAATTCAGAAGTTCGGAATCAGTCCATAGCACTCCTCAAGGGCAAACTCCCCGATCTTGTGCGAGCCTACGTCGACACTGGTGAGTGTGAGATGTGATTATGCCGAAGTTAATTCATAGTAAAGGATATCTCTTGCTGTCTCTCCTGTGACATGAAGTTTGATGTAATTTTCTGGTTACTGTGAACTAAGAATAGTGTATGAAATAACAAAATTACCATTTTTTTTTTCAATTACAGTATAAAGGACACTAGATTGATACAGTACATTGTAATATCATTTGAGTTGTTTATTTAAAGACAAAGATGATTTCTGCTCATTGTTATTCATCCATTGATTCCATTGTTGATAGATTACTAAGTTCCTGGGTTATTTTAAAATAATATTGTACTTTAGTTATGTCATCTTAGAACTGTGCTATTTCATTTGTATAGGAGAAAATTACATTACAGTAATTTGCCCAATATATGCTTTATATGTTTATAGAACATGTTTATGAATGAGGATGATCTTTGAGATAAGAACTACGATCAGGTAATCACAGCTAAACCATCCAAGAGTAGAAAATGGCCATAGGATAGTGATGATGATGATATAAAACTGTAATGAATATGATTGTAATAGAATGGAGGAAGTAAGGTTTTTCAGGTATCTGCTCGTTGATGTATCAGCAAATGGAATAGTGAGTGATAATTTGAATCTTTAGAGTACTGGAGGGAAAGAAAGTAACAGGTGTACTGAAGAAGGTTTGGAGAGAGAGCTGTGTGAAAGAGGCAGATGGAAGGATGATAGACATTATTGAGCCAATGTTGTTGTATAGGTATGGAACATGGACTTGAGAAACCAAAGAAAGCATATAGGGACCTGCAGAAATGATGTGTTTGAGAAAAATATGTAGGATGAATAGAATGCAGAGAATAAGTACATGAATGATAGGAGAACATGACATTTATTGGTTTATGGCCTGAATAAATTTCTGTCTAGAGTGCTGGGCTGTAAATATAGAAATTCTGTGTTTGCTCTTGGGTCTGGCTACCCTAAAATACAGTGAGAAAGAGATAAGAAGAAGTTTGTACTTTTCAGAATCAGGAGATCGGGAGTTGTTGGAGCTGTCAACGGAAGCCCTTCATCTGTTACTTACTCATATTGTTCATCTGTGGAGAGATCCCCCTTCTGCACTGCTACCTCAGGAGTCACGGCAGGCCTTCATTTGTGCTCTACAGCGCGAGTTTCCTCGGTCCCGTGTCCCTGTTGTTCTCGCTCCATTGCTTTACCCAGACTCTGACATTCCTATGGAGAAGATAACTCAAGAACCTCCCGCCAACATGGCAAAAAATCTTGTGAGTGTTGATGTTTTTTGCAATTTAGGGTTACCCTGTATTTATTTTTTGCTTACTGAAATTGGGGAAACCTTTAGGCACCATTTCTGTCCATTCTTACTTCATCCTCTTGCCTAGCTCCCCTTACTTCCTTTTATAGTTCTACATATTGTGTTCTGTCCACATCTTGAGAATTAATCAAACCAGGCTCGGCATTCCCAAAGTATGATGAAAAAACGACTTATTGTCCTTTTCCAACCTATGCACTATAAAAGATGATTTTTATAACATATATTACCTTATTATTATTAAAATGTATATTGTATTGTATTTAATGGAGATACTGTACAATGGTCTAATCAGATTTGATAGAGGCCTAATGAGAGCTAATAGGTAAGAGAGATGACATTTATGTAAACATGGTGGGGAGGGGGGGGGACTGGCCTCGCTGTAATCGTCAGTTTTTCATTTATTCTTTATTATATTCTTTTATGATCAGCTACTTATGGTGTATGTTTCATCATAAATAATATAACATACAGTATTAAATAATAGTAAAAGATTCAATATGTAATTTGTAATTAGACTTCAAAATAAAGGTAAAATGTAAAAGGAAACACACACACACACATACATGACATTGTGTACATTAAAATATCGTCATACTCTATTCCGAGTGATAACAAAGTAGTAGTAGTACTACATTGAAATAATAATTTAAGGGTGGGGGTAATGAGTGGCTACTTAGTGCACAGCGGCCCCCAGAACCCCCACAAAAACTTGATAAAAGTCCGGACAATAGGCATGTCCGGACCCCCTTTCCCCCAAAACTGTCCAGACTTTTGAGGGTTTACTGTATAAGGAAATAGAAAAAGTTAGGAAAGAGGTTGGGGGGGGGGGGTAGACGTTGTTCAAATATCTCCATTGGTAAAGAAACAGTTTGTATATTATATTTTATTTTCAGTTGGATGGTTCATTAGCTGATCTAGTCCTCGAGTTGGGCTATAGTTTCTGCAGTACTGTAGAAGAATGTAGAAACAACCTGGCCAATGTTGGGGTGAGCTCCATAACCCCAGCAGCTGTGTCGAAGGTCCTCGGTGTTATGGTCAGAACTCATACAGGCTTACCATCTGAGCAAGTAAGACATCACATATATTTATGCTGTCTAGTCTAAAACATATAATTAGTAGAGAATAGTGTAAGACAAATGTTCAGATTGATAGGACTCTGCTAAGACAATAAAAGTACTCCATTTGCATTTATCTTCAGCTTGCATAAATATTGTACAGACCTAATTGTCAACTTCCACTCAATAAATGATCTTACCTCTAGTTAACATGGTACTCAAAAGTATTTCACATAATTTGAATATGAATCTGAAAATTAATTGGTGTATTTTACAGATTGGACTCCAGAACCTAAACTCCCCAAGTTCCCTGTGGAGTGACAATAAAGACAAAACCCCAAGTAGCCAGTCTCAGTCAACCTCTGGAGGTGAAGTATGTTTAGGTGGGTCAGGAAACCTCTCAGGTCCCCATGGATGGAATGTTGAGGTCTTTGTTAAAGGTCTTCTGGAAGTTGTTCCAAACCTCAATGTGAAAGAGGTGATCTCAAAGTTGGACCACAAAGGATTTTTATTGAAAGACAGACAAGGCTTGAAGCTACTGATCACGGCACTGAGGTGAGGCCTGTTTTTAATTGTACCTTCTAGTTATTGAAAATATGCCTTATTGTTACATGTTCTATTTTTACCCCAAGTTACAAATCCCACAAAGGTTAAATTTAATCTCTCCCACTTTTCATATTATTTCTTCATAAGTCGATAAAGCTTGAAAAACAATTTTTTTTATTGTGTATGGTAGTTTGTGTAAAATCCTTGAAAACAATACCCAGTCTAAACAAATTTTGAGCACCTGGAGTGAAATTTTCAAAGGTCTTTAATGTAAGATTTATATTAAAGCCAACAAAACAATAGTACCTCTATCGTAGAATAATTATGACAGCACCCAGACTGAGGTATTGCTGATTCAAAATAATAAAGGGCAAGCCCCTAGAAACCCCTCCCTTAAGAAAAATATTCATGCATAAAACCTACCGATGAAAATTGAATCCTCATCATTACAAGACATTTTTTACCAAGAAAGTAAAAAAGGACCTTGTACGGTACATGATTCTCATAGAAGTGTTATCTACCATTTTATGTCAGGACTTATATTATCTATATTTTTGTGGGGGATTTAGGATTATTCCAGATATGTGTACACAAAAACTTCTCAAACACCTGGGCACGATGGATGTGAGAATGAGCAGAATGGGCTTGCCTTCTCAGAATGGTTTCAGGTTCTTCGTTCATTTTTCAGATTGCATAGTGCTTAGAGTATTCAAGAAGTTTTGGCGAGAGTGTACAATAAGAATTGGGGAAATAATTCATTCCTGACCTTGTGATTTAAATAAGTTCTTGTGCAGGGAATTTTGACTGTGCATCTGGGCTTTTCTGTAACACTTACTTTTCTCGATTAATTTTAATTGGCTTGAAATTTATAGAGCCATCTGGTAAGGAACCAGCTAGAAGTGGAGGGTTTATCCTGAAACCTTTTTTGTCTAATGGAATCCAAACCCAAGTCAACAGGAACTTAAGCATTGGTAGTTATTCAGAAAGGGAAATTATGGCCAAATATATTTAGATTAATTTATTCTACAGATGCCTTCTTCAAGGACAAGGATTGAGGTTAGAAATGTTCCCTGTGGATTGTTACTATCACCAGTGGAAGAATACTGAAGAGCAACTCAGTCTGATTTCACAGATTCTCAAGAATCCTGAAATATTCTGCTTCACAGATTTCCCATGCCACTTGGTATCCACTGATTCTCTCAAGACTCTGCCAGAGCTTGATAACAAAGAGGTAAGTTGTTAAATCAAATTTTTCTATAGGTTAATGGCAGTCATGAGATACACAGGATATCAAAGTTTTGTACTGTATTTTTATTTTACACCAAGGGAATACTTTACTATATTTTCCTTGGTAATTTTCAGACTTTTTAAATTAAATTGTCCATTTGATGGATTCGCGTCAGCGGGCGAATCGGACGGGCAAATGAAGGTTTTGATAACCCTTATTTTGTATTTAATTTTGCTGAAATTTGTATGGTATCATACCTACGTAAAGCACTTAATCTGTGCAGATTTTTTATTTTAATAGATATTGTACTTACTGAATTGTAATGGGGGTTATGTGGTTTGATTCACTTGAGCAGTTTTTTGTATACTGTTCAGTAATATCTTGCAAAACATCTTTTCTATCTATTTACACAATTTTTTCTTCAATTTATTTTTTATTTTTTATTTCTTTCATATTTACACGGAATATTATTGAATCTTTTTCTCTTTTTCATGGCTTTGTTAGTCTTACCTCGCAGATTCAGGTGTCAGAAGTACACTTTTCCATGAATCTGTGCTCATTTGAAGAAAAAATAATTTCCTTACTCTAGTGTGGCTTAGAAATAAAGAAAATATTAGGTCATTTCAATTATCCTATAAAATTTTATATTTGTTATACACAGTTTTGATAGTTTTTACAGATAAAATTGTGCATGGTGAAGTTCTGTAATAAAAAAAGAAATAACTTTCTTTAGGTGGCTACGTGGAAATCAGTCCAACTACTAGAAACTCTTCTCTACCTTGGGGAGAGTGGCCACTATGCAGCTGTCAAAGAGTTGTTCACATTTCCCATCCAACATTGTCCAGATATTTTGGCGCTTGGATTGGTTCAGGTGAGAAAGAAATCCCTCCCCTCCTTTTTTTATTATTATTACAGGTATTACTGAAAGTATTGCTTGAGCTTAATGTACCCAGATGTTGCCATTTACAAGAAGAGCATTGTATTAAGAAGAATTTTTTTTCTTCTGTTGAATACTTTTCATAGCCTAGTTCACATAGAACAGTTCTTACACTTCAATAATTTAATATTTCATTTTAATATGATGAAGAGAATAGAGTTCTTAATTTCACACATACTTAATGTACTGCACTATATACTGTATAATATATTTTCTTTGAACTACCTAGCATGTAGCATGCATCATTTAGTACCATTAACAACTGTAGCTATCTGAGACTAAAATTGTCAGTTAAGGGCTTTATGAATATTATCTGCAATATCTAGAAAAGTTGTCAAGGTTAAAGTTATCCTGAAGTATATTTTACTCATCATTACTAATCATATTTTTTGTATGTTTAACCTGACAGGTGCCTTTACCATACACCATGCTGCGACAAGACTTAATTGCATCACTTATTCCAATTTTCCTTGGAAATCATCCAAATGCAGCCATCATCTTACACCATGCCTGGCATACACAGGTTAGTTAAGGTGTTAAATACTGTTTGAGCAAGATCAGTTATTTATTCCATATCATTACAATATTTCCTTCCTTATATATTCCTAGGATGGAAAATAGGAAACAGACCTGAGTAGGGGGCAGAATATTGAAGGAAAAGTTGTGAAAAAAAAGTAGAAGAAATTTTGGAATAAGAACAAAAAGAAATCAGGTGTTGTGTTGTGCTTAGCTGGTTTGGACATCACTGTTTTAAGAGAATGGGAAGTGAAAGATTGGTAAAAAGTTTAACGAGTTTTATGGTGGATGGTAGAAGGGAGAGTAGAAGACCAAGGAGGAGGCAAATTGATGGCATGAAGGTCAACCTACAGTAGAATTGAGGAAGATGGACATAAAGGAAGCAATGGTATGGGTGAACATGTTCAGGACAAGATGCTGCCATTATCCTCATTGATGTTTTGCTTCTTTCCATAATTACTGTAGTTTTAGTTTGTAGAAAAATTTTAGAGAAAATGTTAATAGTTTTTCAAGAGGGTGAATGTTTAAATATGACTTGCAAATTGTAATTAGAATAAAAAAGCAACCTTAAGTCTTTAGGTTGCTGGATTTTGGACATTGTATTGTACTGTACTGTATTAATTCATTCTGAGGTCACCTGGCTACTATTATATCAAATGAGGCTAGGCCAGTATAGTATTGGTAACCACATCCCTCTAGGGCAAGGGTCGGGGAACTTTTTTGGGTATTACCCACAAAAAATTTTGAGTAAAATGAAATTACCCCCAGACTTCAAAGTAAACTAGTACAGTAAACAAAAACAAGCCAATTTGCTCCTAAAATTGTTGGATATGGTATGGAAGTGTCTCTCATACTGCTGCATGCATTACCCCCAAAATTTTAAGATTTACCCCATTTGGGGTAATTTACCCCTGTTTCCTGACCTCTGCTCTAGGGTTAAGCTTTGGTTTATTAAGTCATTACTTTTTCCAAAAAATTCAGGAGAAAATGTCTCTCATATGGCAAGAAATACATAGGGTTTATATACCTGGTACTGTACTATATTTTATATGACCATTTGAATTTCAGTATTTTAGTATTTGTTTAATGTGACTTTCTTCCTTACTATAAACTAATATTCTAATGGGAAATTTCTTTGTAGAACCATACAAGTACAGTTCGCCAAATCGTCATGCATGCAATGGCAGAGTGGTACATGATGGAAAGTGATCAGGCAAGACTTAGTCGTATCTTGGATGTTGCCCAAGATCTCAAAGCCTTATCACTCCTCCTTAATGCCCAGTCCTTTCCATTTGTGGTGGATTTGGCATGCCTGGCCTACAGACGTAAGTTTATATAGATGCACTCTTCTTATATGTGTGGGCATCCCTTTAGTTACAAAGGGTGAATTTATTAAAATTTTGAATTCAGTGGGGTTTCTCAGGAATGGAACACTCTTGTAAACCGAGGGATGCCTGTGTAAGGATTAAAGAGCAATTACTTACACCAGGTTATAAAAACCTATTTTTTTATGCCCCAACTGCATATTCTGTACAGAAGAGTCTAATTTGTACCAGTTTATCTACTTGTCCCTCTTAAGTTTGGTAGCATCATAGAGCAATAAAATTAATGAAATTATAAAGGCCTTTGAGAGAATCGTCTCATTACCCGGAAGTCTCTCATTCCCGGAAGTGCTCTGCACCAATTGTTCCGGCTAACAGAGATATCACTTACAGTATAAGATATTGGAATAAACAAATTAATTTTACTTGAGAACAAAATTATGAAGAATTTACATGTAGTAATTTTCTTTGTTTTTTCTTTGTCAGGTGAATTTTTAAAGCTTGACAAGTGGCTGACAGACAAGATTCGAGAACATGGTGAGCCCTTTATATCCTCTTGTGTGAAGTTCCTTCAACGAAGATGCCCTCAGCTGTTGAGTGGTAAAGAGGATATGATGCCAAAGTCGTCACAGCTACCTCCTGAGACAATGGCTACTATTCTTGTGTGCCTAAATGCATGTGCTCTGTGAGTATATTGTGTGAGGCGCTTGCTGAGAATATTAGATGCTACAGTAAGGCAGTGCATTTTATATAGTTTTTTAGAACCAAGTTCGTGTCTTATAAACCATGGTAAATAAATTATGAAGGAATTATAGGCTTACAAGGTCAGTTATTTTTGTCTTTAATGTTTGGATAATACCATCTTACATCTTTGTATTGCTGTGTTGCATTTTTTCCATGATGGATACAGAGTACAGTATTGTAATAGTATGAAAATTATTCTTTAATATTTCTAAATTGTTATTTACAAATACTCTGTACAGTAATAATATTGATTGAAGTGTGAAATCTCATGTTATAGCAGAGGAAAGAGTCACTTGCCTGATTTCCAAATTTATAACTGAAGAGTTTGAGTCAAGAAAACCAGTTTAAGGTTCATCTTGGTGTGCTTGTTGATGTGCTGGCTTTCAAAGCAACCACTGAACCTGGGTCGGAGCTTATTTCCTAAGTTCTGGGGTTGGAGGTGTAGCTATTTATGCAGTCATGGACTATTCCAAAAGGAGAGTGTACCTGTCTCAAGAACACAAATAGCCCACTGAACACTACAAACTCTGTTGAGTGTTTTGGCAGGTCACTTGACTCTACTTTAGTCATAAAATGTGATTTCATAGTTCTGTCCGATGATTTAATATGAAGTTGACTTAGTTGAGTAGAATCCCCAGATTTCAGTGGGTTTTTTTTTATAAAGGTTTACTGTGTTTTATAATAGTCAAGTCTTTTTAAATTCAAAGATAGATCTTGATTTGAGATATGATTTCTATTACTTATCAAAATCATCAGTGACACTGTAGAACAATCATGTTTACATAATAGGTATCATTAATATACTGTACCGTATTTTACAGCATATAAGACGCACCCCTCACTTCAGCAGGGAATATTTAGGAAAAAATTTTGAGTGTATTTTCCTCCTGTAGCCATAGTTTTCCTAATATATACAATACTGTGCTAGCAAATGTGAGGAATAAATAAAAATAACACTAATAAGTTACAACAAAAAGTACTGTACTGTATTGCTGTTTGGCTGCTGGACAATGAAATACAGTAAAACCTCGATTAACCGACCCTCGAATATCCGACTTTCGGATTAACCGTCAATCCCGAACCCCTAATTTTTTTGCGGGGATTAGCCCACCCGGGCACAGGTCACTGACCCACATCGGGGCCTGGGGGGGGATAATGTAATAATATTAATAATGATAATGCTAATAATAAGCTAATAATAGTAATAAAGAAATGCAAAAATGAAAAAAAAAATCAAGAGTGAGAAACAATGTACCTGTATGTATGTTGTGTTGTCAATAGTAAGAGAAACAATTGAGACCCTGCAATTGTGTGTAAATGAGGCAGAAAGTCAGATCAGCAACCTGGGACTTGGTCACAATTTTTGTGATGACACGTTTTTTGACTTTAACATTTTTTATTCACGGTTTCTGTGCTGGTTCATATTTATTTACTAAAGTGGTTAATGTTTTACAGCAAATTCTATTGAAATATGAATGGCAAATGAACAAAAATCAATAGAGGGACTTAAATGAGGTAGGTTAGGGAAAGGTACTTTGAAAATGTGTGTTTTATTTCCGTAGACTTTATGTACTAATAACCGACCTTTTGGATTATCCGTCGGCCCCATATGTGGTCGGTTAATCGAGGTTTTACTGTATGTCTAAAGTTTCACTACACACGGGAAACAGTTCAGAACAGCTGAGATCCCTTATTCCCCCTCCTCATAACACATGTAGAAAGTTTATCCCCGTTTGTGTTTTTGAGCTTATGATAATTATTTATTTATTTTTTTGTGCATTCTGTATGTAAGATTGAATACATGTAACAGTTAAAAAAGAAAAGAAAAGTATCTATCTAAAATTACAAGTTGAAGAATAACCATAGCAGAGCTCACAGCTTGATCTGGAATGGCAGAGGGATGTGGATATAATGACTACAGCCATCCCTTGGTTACCATGATTTTCGTTATCACGCCTCCATCAAAATCTGCACACCTGCTGTTATAGCGCATTTTTCAGGCCGAGAATTTAGTTATCACGCAGTTGCCTCCAGGTGTATTGTTACCCCCTTGCTTCACCTACATCTATTGAGGATAAAATCTTTCACCTACAAATTGACAATAACACATTTGCTGTAATCAGACATATCTAAGTTTTCTCAACAATTGCAACCCCAGTTGCAATTTCAAATTCTGTGTCATTACTAATGAATAACAAAGTCTCGGGTGCACTCTAAGATTGAGAGAAAACGGAGGACTCGGGCGTCCTGAAGCGATGAGAAAACGGACTCCTCAGACGGAGGACTCAAATAAAGAAGGTATAGCTACATGTTTTGTGGACTACAGTATTGAGCGTACCCTTTTCATCACTTTGTAATAAACCTAGCCATGCCTGTGTGTGTTTCTGATACTTACCATAACATTATCTATATTTTTAGTGGGTCTAAATGGTCGTAAAATGGGTTAATTGGGGTTGGGTCTTGGGTGCCTGGAACCAATTAGAATAAATCCCATAGGTTCTGTACTTTCGTGATCGCGTTTTTCGTTATCACGCACTCGGCGTGGTCCCAATTAGGTGTGGTAACCAAGGGATGACTGTAGTCTTGTTTTATTATCACAAATACAAAACTAGTATAAAATACTGAAAAGCAAAAAAAAAAAAAAACTAAGGAATATTATCACATGTAATGTAATGGCTTACATGGTAAATCAAAAGGCTGAAGCAAACTCACAACTCCCTGTACCTCCTTACCCAGAATTCATAAACCATCCTACCTACCTTGCTTATGTTATTTAACAGTTGTGATACTTAAAGTAATCTAGATGAAAAAATGCAGCTAAATTCATTAAATAAAAACAAAATGAAAGTTTAACACAGTCGCCAATTGCATAGACATTCCCTGCTTTGCCATAGCAACGCAGACCAGCGGGGACACTACCTCTGCCGACTCCCTAGCAATGCCACCCTCTATTCCACGTCCTCCTCCTGCACCCACGCTGAGCCAGCTAACTTTGTGTTTGACCTTATGATAATTATTTTTTTTTTTTTTTTTTTTTTTGCACACTATGTATGTAAACTGGTGTGTGCATGTAACGGAGTAAAAAAATGAAGAAAGTTACATACAATATATATACCTGTATACCCAGAAACACAAGTTGAAAAATAACCGTAGCATAACTCGTGAGTTGGCCTGATAGCTTGGTAGTTAGTGACGATTCTATCTTGGTTACAATGCCATCAGCAATGTTGACAGATGCAAATGTGAAAAGAAAGCTATCTGTAAGTCTTCATTTGTGTCAGGTATTTGTTGATTTAAAGATAAATGTTGCAGGTATGCCATTAATAGATAGTAATGCTTGTAAGAGTTCAAAATGGTTACTGCTTAGCTCTGAAAAGTTGGGTGCCTGTCATACGGACACTAATCGTCTTGGGTTATCATTATCAGTACTGTACAGTGGTTAGAAATCCAGATTTATATTTACAATAACTTTTTTTAATTAATTAAAAGTAACAATACTGTAATGTGATTAAGTAAACAAAAACGTTTTTCATTTTGGAGTTGGGCTAGGTAAAATTTACCCTACTGGAGATAACAGCTGGGGGATTCATTAGCCTACAGGAGACCGTAACTTCACATATAGGACGCAGGCTGATTTTTTAGTAATTTTTCAGATAAATTGCGTCTTATATGCTCTAAAATACGGTAATTAAATTAATATTTTAAGAATTTGGCCTGGCTTTGCCCTGTATTACTGGTATGATTAAAATCATTGACAGGAACGTCTCCCAGGAGCTTTCTGACACCATACTGCAAATGGTTCAGAATTGTAACCTGATGAACCGACCTCGCACACAGCAGGTGGGAGTGGTGAGTCTTCATTTTGTGTTGTGTAATTTGTTCACTGGTTCCTATAGTGGGGGATCTCATTTTTTATTTGTATGGATTTGTCATTTTTCTTTGTAGCAGTATGATATGTATACAGTATGTCTTTTTTTTTTCTTTTTTTTTAATTGATGAATGTGTGAAATGAGAAATAAAGATAGTGAGAATTTTTTACGAACAAAGTGAATGGTGTGAGGTTTAGTTTGCCGTTGGGTGTTGGAGGTTAATGACAGAGGGAGTGTTCCTATTTTAAGGTTGCTAGAATCAAGACCAAATGTATGCTCTCCCTCCAACCTGTCATTCACAGTTTCAGGTATTTCAGATAAACTTTCTCCTTTTGTTATTCAAGACCCAAAACAAGCCCCCAAATACATTCATCAGCAAAAAACCACTTGATATAGTGTGCTGTCTTGTCATTCATGTACTGTACATTCATGTTTTTTTAATGCCCATTTCTATCACTTCTAATGTGTGTGATTCACTAATCCATTTCCTTGGTGGTCTACCTGATATTTCTAACCTTCCACCTCTGAAATATGCAAAATCAGACTCATCTTTTGCTTTCCAGTCTCATAATATGTCCATTTGTCCTTACTCTCTGAACAAACTTTGATCTACTCAACCCAACACTTCTTTCATTACCACATTACATCCTTATTTCTGTATTTCTTATTCTCTGTATCCTGTGCATTCCACATATCATTCATAAGCATATCATATTTAATGGGTTGTCTTTCACTCCCATTATGATATTGGCTAACCAACTTTGCCTCTTTTGATATGGTTCGGTCTTTATACATTTCTCACTCCACCTTTCACTTAACTTATTGTTCCATATGTTGACATATCCATTTCTAGATTTCTGAATAACATAACTTCCCCCCCATCTTCTTACCAAACTAAAGTTTATTTTGCCCTGTCCCACCTACTTTTTTTTTAGCCCTTTTGTTCACATTAACCATTTTGGTAAGTACATACAGCTCCAAATTCATTAACTAACAACTTTGATTTTTCTTTTTGATTAGTACCCTGTAGAGCAGTGTCATTTGGTGACTGCAGCTGATTCACCTCCCATTTGCCTCCTATATCATTATTTACCAAAAATTTCCTTTCTGCATTTCTCTTGTTACTTCTTTCTATTCCATATGTGAAAATATTGAGGGAGGACAATAAACTTCCTTGGTGTATTTCTACTTTCACAGGGAACTAGTTGGCCTTTTGCTGACAAATTCTAACACACGTTTCTTACATCTTACATATTTTCAATGCATCTCACATAGCATTTTTATATACTTGTATGCATTTCCAGTTCCAAAAATGTCATGAACAATAGTTCCACCCCAGAAACTGTTCACTCTTACCCTTGAATGCAAAAACTTAATCGTAACTAATCTCATCCTCTCATAGTCCCACACTGTTCATCTTGTAATGTGAGCTGATCTTAATACAAGGTACTTTTCTCTCTCTAATAGCTTTGCCCAATAAACTTCCTGGTCTACTAAACATATTTTCCTCTATATTTTATGCATTTATTCTTATTACCTTATTTTTTGTGGGAGAATTGTACATGCTCTTGATGATGGATTTGAAAAACGTTTATAGCTGCCCAAAAGAGTTGGCAGGGTTAATGGAATTTGATATAGGCAAAAAATATTCCCTAATGTGAAATTGAGGGTAGTAAGAATGGGTGGAAGAATTATTAGAGGAATTTGTATTTTGAATATGGTTGGATACTGACTAATCTGGTAAGAGGCTGTGATAAAAGATCAAAAGTGAGATAGTCAGGCTATAAATGGAAATTAGTGTGGCTATGAGGTGTCATGTCAGATATTGCCAGGATGATAGCAGTGGACTGTGTATGTTGTATTCATTTCACACATGAGTTAATGTGAATGATCATAATGTCTCATGGATTTTAAGTTTTCAATTTGCATACCTGTGTAATTGTAGAACATTAGAAAGTGTGAATGGAGTACTGTACTGTACTCTTACTTGCTGTTTCATTGTATTCTTATTACCTAAAAAAAAATATCTCCTCACCCCTCTCCCTTGTCAGTTCCCTCCTTTCTAGAGGATTCTACTTAGATGAGAATTGTACAACAGTTGGAAAAGACACAAATCAATTTAAAGAAATTGTTAAATAAAAATGGAATTTAACTTATACAGTCAGTGTAATAAGGTAATATGGGTCACACTTATAAAGGATCTGCACATGATGTGAATAAAAAAAGGATGGAGGAGAACAATGTTTCTCTGTTAGGACTGCCTTGCTATACCTACTTACAAAATAGTACTATAATGGGATGGGATGAACCTCTTATTCTTATCTTCTCATTTCAGATTGGGTTCCCAGGTCCCGGTCCAACCCAGTCAAATGAAGGACCTCTTGGCAATATTGCATCAACTTTAAGTAACTTAAACCTTGGGAATGCTGGTGTCTCATCCTCAATCTTCCCAACCCCAGCCTCATCTTCTATGACCCTTGGTGGTTTAGGTTCCCTTGGAGCGGCCCCTGGTTCCCCAGGCCGCCCACTTGGACCTTCCGCTGCTCCTGGAACTTCACAGTCTCCTCTCTCCTCCATTTTACCAGCTCTACAGCTAGGACCACCACATCCAGCAGCAGTAGGATCTCAGCTTCCAGCATTGCCAACTTCATCTATAATTCCATCATCATTAAGGACTCATACTGTGCAACCCACTGTTGCTCAAACACCTAGACAAAGTAAGTTATTAGTGGAAAAGGGTAATTTCATTTGTAATATACTTAAAATTAAGGTAAAATTAATGTAAATTGCCTGATAGTAAAATTTGGTTTAGGTAACTACCATTATTTGATTGTTTAATATTGTTTTCCATTTTGTCCTGCAATTAGTTAGTTGATTTATACAATTGGTAAAAGGATTTAGTGGATGGTATAAAAGATTGGGAAGACCAAGTCGCTGTTAGAAGGATGAAGTGGGGACGGAATAGAGATTCAGGAAACATGAGTGTGTGTACAGTCAGCAAAAAAGTTCTTGAACAGCTGGGCACAACATTTCAGAATGGTTGGTGTGCCTGGTTTGCAAATTGACTCAATATTTTGCAATAATATATGCCAATCGTCTTTATAGTGTTTACAGGGGAAAACAGGAACAGTAATTTAATTTGCAATAAAAGATCATCAGAACAATGTTTTAGATTTCATCTTTGTTTTGTTATATTGTATGATGTTCAAAGCGTTCGAGAACTTTTTTGTAAGCTGTACATGTTGAGTGGTTAATGGGGATGGATGTGCAGTGATGACTGATGTCAAGCTGTATAAAGCGACAGGGGTAAATCAGATAGATTTGGGTTTTATTGTGAAGGGGGGTTACCCAAGCAGAACACACAACTTATGTCAGTAAAAGTGAATGAGGCAGAATGTATGTGTATTTGCCCTTGTTTCTGACCATGTTGGATGAAGTAGGAAAAGAGTTGAGAGAGTATTAAAGGTAGTGCTATTAATGATGGAATCTTTTTCAGTGGATATGTCCCAGATTTTCGACATGCCTCAACTGGTAAGCAAAGAAGTTGAAGATGAAGCCAATAGCTACTTCCAGCGTATTTACAACCACCCTCCGCATCCCACACTCTCTATAGAAGAAGTAGGTTTCATCACTAATACAGTGTATTGTAGATAAATAAAAATTTTACAATATTTTTTAAACCACTTTTAATGTTTTGGCACTGATCTTTATAAGGGAGTTGGAATTTTAATTTAGAATTGGTGAACCAGTGAATAAGTGGAGGAGAGTAAACCTAGTGGTAGGTCAAAAATGACATGGAGGTGGGGGGGGGTTATAAGAAATGACATCAGAATTAAGAACCTGACAAGAGACCAATACAGCAAGGAGAGCTGTCTGCTAACCCCAGTAAATGTGGAAAATGGCCAAAAAAATTTGATGAATAAGTATGATGGGGAAAGTGCATCGTATAAAGCAGGATGCATGTTATTTGTTTCCAGGAAAAGAAAAGGCAAATGATAGAAAAGTAATGTGGGAAGTATTTAAAAGTATTCTATGGGGGTAAATGAGAAACTATGGAATGCAGTCTGACAGTATTTATAGAGTGGAGGATGTGTTAAAAGAGTTTGTTGGGAAGAAGGCAACACTCCTAGTAAGTGGAGGACTAGTATATGAAGTATGTGTACTCTCACCATGGGGTAGTAAAATATGTAAAATAAAGAGAAATGGAAGGGATACAGATTTTCTGAATGTTATGTGATGCAAAGTCTGAATTTATTTTTTGAAATGCAAAGACAATAGTACAGTATGTAATTTATGCGCTACAAACTATTGCAGCATATAAGTTACATACCGTTTTTACATCTTTTTTTCAGGTATTGGACATGCTAAAGAAATTTCACGAGTCCACCAACAAGAGAGAGCGTGAGGTATATTCCTGCATGTTACGTAATCTTTTTGAAGAATATCGTTTCTTCCCAACTTACCCAGACAAAGAGCTCTTTACCACAGCAAGACTGTTTGGTGGCATCATTGAGCAGGGTCTAGTCGAGTAAGTACTGTACCCTTCTTGTTAAGTGGTGATAAGAGGTAACTGTCTCGATGTGCAAAATAAAAGATAATAATTTAATAAGTAAATCTAGTGTGATATAAATTGTAAATCTCTTGGCTTTGTCTAATTACAGATATATGGCTCTTGGGGTTGCTCTTAGGTATGTGATGGAGGCCCTCCAGAAGCCACATGGTAGTAAGATGTATTATTTTGGTATTGTGGCCTTGGATAGGTTTCGTAGTCGCCTTAAGGAATATCCACGATATTGTCAGCACCTGATGGCAATACAACACTTCAATGAGTTTCCACCACATCTTATAGAGGTAAGTGTTAAATTTGTTACTTTGCATAGGCAGTAGCTACTGTAAAATCTCTTATTATGTCAGATTGCATACCTAAATGGGTCGTATAAATGCAGTAGGTAGTGAGGGTGGCACTGCAAGACGACAGCTTGCTTCCATCTTCCACCATGTGTTACAAACACTTACCTTATCACTACTGCTTGGGTAGTCTTCTTGCAGTTTATGTTTTACAGGCACATTGTTCCTTTCAATAACCTTATATCACCTCTACCATGGGAAGTGGATGATGTCAGGTCACTAGTCTGCGATGCGCCTATATTCTTTGTAATGGCTCCGCTGATGCTAAAGACACACGTAGGTGATGGGAGAAGTGCGGAGGTGTGAGGCCAAGCTTGACTGAGCTTGCCAAATCATGTTGGAAAGTTACAATTAGGTGCCTATTTAAAAAACAAAAAACATAATATAATTTATGTTGCAGTTCCTCGCTTTCCATCATAGAAGGCATGTCACAGTTGTAGGGCTAAGCACCCATCCATAATGTGAAAATAATTTTTCTTGTTAACTTACTGTAAATAGTGAACTTCTCTGCTCTTAGCTGCAGTAAAGTGGGGGTTCATGCAGCTACCAGTAGCTTCCTAATGTATGTTTATTTGTTTTTATTTTTCGTAAATTAGCACCTTTATTTTTTTCTCTTTTATTTCTAACAAATTATATTCTTAAAACAATGGGCCATATTCATTGTCATTTACATTAGTTACTAAGAAGACTCAATTTTTTGCACTTTTACTCCTCAAAGGATTTTTAAAAATTCATTTGATATATGAGGCAGCCTGCTAGAAAATGAAATGGAAATTATAATTTGTTACTGAACTAACTTATAACGTTTATCTTGCAGTACATCAAGTATGGAACACAGTCACAAGAACCGCCCTCCCGCCCCTCTGGCGTTGTGCTTCCCCCATCAATAAATGTTTCTCCAAGTACTCCAGCTCCAGGGACCACAACATCTGTAGTGTCTTCAGTACCTGCTGTAGTTGTTCCACCACCACCAGTAGTGTCAACTGTTGTGTCATCAGTGGCTAAGACTATCACTGCAACAACCACCACCACTACCACTGCTGCCATCTCCAAACCTCAATCAATGTCTGTTGCTTCAGCAGCAGTTGGATCTGGGAAGGTATGCACATGTGGTTTTATTCACGAAACACTGACTTAGTAGCATAAATGATGGAAAAGGATATAGGAAGAAAGATTATACTGGCATTTAATTTTGGTTGGAGGGGAAAATTAGCAGTTTCAAAACTATTAAAAGTACCTGCATGAAGCTGTAGTGTCTCCTCTTTTATTTTGTAGTGCTTATCACATTCCCACATCTAACTTATGGTCTAGCAGTAGCACTTGCCTTGCACATTCTCTTGCGGACAGAATATAAGAAACATAAGTGATAGCTATGTGCATGTGTGTAGGGGAGGGTACTGGGTTAGCTCTAATGACTTCACTGGAGAGCTTTACCTCATGAAATGACCATCTTTAGTTAATAAGGAAAACTTGAACAATGTCTGCAAAATAATTTCACTTTACATAGATGATTGATGCATAAAGTAGGTTTGTGCATCCCTAGTAATCAAGTGATTTTGAACAATTATTTTATGTTCAAGAGCAGTCTATATCCCATTTTTATTTTTTCCCTCCATTTGTGGTTTTTAAACTATTTGAAATTCTGGGAATTGGCCAAGTTGTCATGTTTACCTTTATTAATGTTGTAAACCAATTGCCTGAATGATATGTGCTGGGGTGTTGAGAATTCTGCTTTTGGCATTTACCAATAAATCTAATTCTGCTGCACTTTTTTCCTCTCCACATTTAAACCTTATTATGAGGTATGTTGTACAATGGAATGTAAGTTTGGAGTGTCTTTTTTAGGTTTACCCCAAGGCAAACATTGTTATTGATAAAATGTGAAATAAAATACTTGAGAACTAATCCTTATCTAAATTCATTATTTACTTAATTATAGCATCTTCCCCAAGTTAAATATTTTATTTCTTAAGTATTAAATTTCCGTAATTCCAGCAGCAACCAACAATTACTACCACCAATATTGAGACTCTTCTTGTTGCTACGGAGAAGGAAGAGAAGATAACCCCGCCTCCCGAGCACATACAAGATAAAGTTGGCTTCATCTTCAATAACCTTGCTCAGGTTAACCTGCCTCAGAAGGTAGGTACCACAGTTTACTGTGCTCGGATGGATTGCAACCATGCAAGTATCCATCAGTTATGCATTTTAATAAATTGGTGTAAAATCAGAAAAGATATTGAGTGAGAAGTTTAGATATAAATTTAAAGATTTAAGGGAGTACTGTACGTTAATTGGATAAGAAATATTGAGGAAGAGTAATTAAGGTGCTTGATGGAACACCGACGTGTGCAAAAATCATGTTTTGGGATAATCAAGGTTAAAGCTAGTGTACATTGTTTTTATTACTCCATAACCAACCATATGATTTTAATGATTCTTGTGTAGTTTTTGTGTAAGTAACAAAATCTTAGGTCATGAAAGTCTGAATAGTCATTAGGTCAAGTTTATTTTGAAGGGTCACTTGAGAACATTCAGTAAAAGATTAATAACCATCAGCATTCATTCATGCAAATGTTAATATAATCACCAGTCCAGGACAGGTGTATAGGTTTACGTGGATGACAGGGTGAGGGAATAGTACTCCAGCATCTCGTTGTCAGGGTCTGCCTCCTCAATGACAGCTGCTGTCCTATTGCCACTATATAATACCCTTTCCTGGTCTAACTGTGCGAGGTCGCCTCATTTACAAGATCTGATCTGATCTTCTGTTCCTCCACATTTTTCCGTCTTTACACTCGCATGGGATTCCCCCAGGTTCATTTTCTTTGCCACTTTCTTTTTCCAGTGCAAGGGGTGACGTACACACTTCCTTGCACGCCGACAACCTTCCTCCACATTTTTACTTATATTTGAATTTATAATATGCACTTGTGAGCACTAACTATACAGAAGAAAAATGTGTAATTCCTTGTGTCTGATAATATCAGGGGTCCAAGAAAAAATGTGGTTACCCCCTCCCAAGGTCACACATACCCTCACATTCTGGACTATCATTGGCTGAGCAAGTGACGCCACAGCTTCTCACACCTGTTATTGGTCACACTCTTTGGTGCGTACGTCAGTATTTCGCCGAGACCACAACCTACATACACTTCATGTAAGCTGCACAAAATGTCGAAAGTCTTATGTTTTTTAAATCAGTTTTGTCCTTGTCTCAAAGAAGTATCTCCCTTTCCAGTGTAGCTAACATTACAGTGAATATCCTGGGTAACACGTCGGAACAAGAATCTCATTTCTCCATGTAATTTTCCACCAAGCTCCTCAATTAAGACTTGAGAATGGCTGAAAGTGATTTATGTGGTGGTATAAATATAATGAAACCAAAATGGAAGGCTCGATTGGTAGGTTGGGAAAGAGTGAAGTAGGCTTTGTATTTTTGGAACTCCCAGTTTAGAATTTTGAGAATTTTTAGTAGAGCTAGGATGTGGATAAATTTTAGAATTTTATTTAGTACCAGTATTCTGTTTATTGGGAGTCACTGAAAGGAGAGGGTTTCTGAGTTATTGTGTTTGTGATTGTTTTGATGGGAAGTGTAAGGTGGGGTATTGTAGATTGTGTGGTAGTAGTGTGTTATGGTTCCTTTTTTGTGCTTTTGGGCTGCAGGATGGTTAACCAGGGAATTGTAGGAATAAATGTTTGAAAACCATCACTGTCACTTGCTCTGAATGATATTGGATAAGATGTACTGTACAGGATATTAAGCAGTACAGTATAAGTTATTTAAGAATTAACATTGGACTCGGGGCTTAATTTTGTAGCCAAACTATCAAATTATGATAAGAAAAAAATGTTGCCAGAAAGAATATTAATAATATATACTTTGTATTTTTTCCATGTAGTGTGAGGAGCTGCGTGAAGTGGTTGGAGAAGATTATTGGCTGTGGGTAGCACAGTATCTGGTGATGAAGCGTGCTTCCATTGAGAACAACTTTCATACTCTCTACTCTCTATTTCTTGACCAGATGAAAATGAACAATGTTAATTCCATGGTGTGCCGTGAGACTCTTAGAAATATTAAGGTAAGGAGAGGCTATGTTTTCTGTTACTATCATGAAGTTAACCTTTGCTAACATGAAAATATCCTTCCAGTATGATACCATGTCTGAAAGAAAGTAAACTCCATTAATTAACTATTCTGTTTATTTATTTATTTCAGGTACTCCTGAGGGCTGATAAATCAGCAGCCAATTTTTCAGATAAGTCACTGTTGAAAAATCTTGGTCATTGGCTGGGAATGCTAACCCTGGCCAAGAATAAACCAATACTGCACACTGACATAGACATGAAGTCTCTACTCATAGAGTCTTACAACAAAGGGTTGCAGGTTAGTTTCATACTTTGATGATAAAGTTCAGAACCCATTTATGTGTTAAGTTGTGTAGCCATTCATTAGTCACCACTGTTCCAAATTTAATAAATGTAGCTACAATTTATGTGAACTTTTATGCTGATAGTGTAAAGAAGGCCTGAGTATAATATAAGCTACTCTTCTCTTCGTTGTGAGATCTGTGAGTATTTTATTTCTTTTTAGCATTTGGGTACTTACAGATTTTTTGCTCCTGTGTTTGTAAAGATTCTTTTGAAAATGAATGTTTTTTTTTAGGATTAAACATTCATTATGCTAATTAATTAGGCTGATGTTTACAACACGTCCGTCATCTGGTAATTTACAGTGACCCCTCGGTTAACGAACTCAATCCGTTCCAGAAGGTCGTTCGTTAACCGAAACCATTGTTTCAATGGGTTTTTGGGTAATTGGTTCCAGCTCACCAAAAATTTCCTAAATTCAACAAAAATGGTAGAAAAGTTCACTTACTTTGAGGTGTGTATGTAGAAGGCTCCTGGATGATGATGATGATGATGAATTACAATGGGGTGGAGGAGAAGGAAGAAGAGAAGGCATTGGGGTGGAAGAGAAGTCACCCCATGGCACCATTTCACCCATAAAATTTTAGTTCTCTTGGTGTATTTCAAGATTATTTTCTTTAAATCAACACTGTACTGCATTATACAGTATATTGTCAATATGTAAAATATATTTCAAAATGACCAATAATTTGCTTGGAAACACAGAAAAAAGCGTTTAGTTGAAGAGAGTCTCAAGCAAGATGTTACCTCCAGTGAAAACAGAGAGACTAACGCCTGTTTGCTGTGTTAAGAGGCTGGATGCTGCGCTTTAAACTAGTCACTTTACCTTCAATTATGTTCAATAATTGTTAAAATGACTAAAAAATTGAATATTAAACTTTTAAAATTATTGAATAGTATAAACTTCTTGATATTTACTAAAATAGTTAGGAATTTAAGCCCTAGAACCGATTAATGTATTGGCGGACTGATACTAAAGCTGGTTGCCCGGCCAGTGCAAGCGAAAACATGTTGAGGTCGGTTCGTAAGAAATTCGTTAACTGAATTTTTGTTCGTTAACCGAATTGAAGATCCTTATGGAAGGCAGTTCGTTAACCGAAATTTCGTTAACCGAGGCGTTCGTTAAACGAGGGGTCACTGTATTTAAAAAAACTTTTCTGAATATATTTTCGTCGCTGAGTTTGGATATGACATTCATTTCTTTGGGCAAATGCTTTGTTTGGTAGATAATTAGGCCCCTAGCCTCGCACTACTTCGTCTTTCTTGGCTGTGAAATGGCATGGCAGCCGGATCCAGCATACTCTGACGTCCACAAAAAACGTAAAATTACGCCATGCCACTTCAAGAAAGTTGCTTTCATTAGTATTAGATATCAAAGTTAGGTAAGTTTCTTTGGTGAGGTTGGTGTTTGCTGTCAGTTAACAACGCTACTGCTGCTTGTGTTTCTTATCGACTAAGGTTAGGCTTAATTTAAAAAACCCCATTTTAACACATTTGCCCAAACTATAAGTTTCCACTGCAAAACACACAGAAATTGCAGCATTTTTAATTTCTTATGAAAATTCGGAGACGGACGTGTCATAAAAAATTGCACAAGTAATTAACAGTTTTTACTCTCCTTATGATAAATACCACACCTCTCAGTTACTGTCCCTCACAAATTAAAATCAAGTTTCTTCTGGTTGTTTGTAGCAGTAGCCATTGTCACATACAATTAAACTGCACAACACAGTCAAGTATTGACAGGTAAAATAAACACCACTGAATGGCAATGTAAGAGTGTTATGATGGAAAAATTTTAACAGTGGGATTAGGGAATTTAACAAAGCCTGGCTGGCTTTATGTTATAAGTATTCTATCCCTTTCATCTCATTCATCCATTATTAATTGATTTTCGTGTACACACAAATACATCTGCACCCCATATCTGCCATACATATAAAGTATGGCAAAAACACAAGGGAATGAGGTTTTCTTTGTGTGCCCAGCAAGAGTTGGCAGGGTGAGCTTGAGGGGGAGTTATGTTATAATTTTTTAACTCACAGTTTTGAATAGATGAACTTTTTACATGAACATACAATCCTACATACATAATGTGCAAAGAAAAGTAAAAGAAATAACTATAATAAGGTAAAAATCAAAGGAAAGTAACATTTCTTTGTGTGTGAGAGCAGGGAGGGAGTGTTGTGGGGTGGCAGATGCTGCCAGGCTGGATGCTATGACAATGTTTGATGGCGACCATGCATGAAGCAGCCAGTGTCTATGCAAATGGCACCACTGGTGGCTGTGTTAAACTTTGATTTAGCTTTTCATTTATATTTTAACTGCATATTTTCATCTAGATGGTATTTTATTAATGTTTTTAATGTGTTAGGTAGTAAATTTCAGTACGTACTTGTATATGGTTTGTCATTAGTTAGGTAGTTTTTTCTTGTTTGTGAACCGATTTTGTGATTTTGGATGTGATATTGTGTCTTGTTTTGTTATTAGGAACCGAACCCAAAAATTCACGTAACAATGTTTTTTCACTTGACCAATTCATATCTCGAAGGATACCTTTATTAACCAAGGTGGTGTAGACATGAGATAATTGGGAACTAAGAGATTGTATTATTTAATAATGGATGGTAAGAGGAAGAAGGGAAGATCAAGGAGGAGATAGGAGAATAGGTAAAGGATGCAGGAGATGTGCATGGGAGGGAAGCTCAGGAAAAAACAAATTAAATGAATGACAGGAGAGAAAGGTGTTGAATTATTGAATTATTTACAGGTAGGGTGCAGCAGTAAGAGTACGTGGAAGATGAGGGAGAGAGTGAGATTTGATTTACATTTTTGGGTTTAAGGTTTATCTTGGAAAGAATTATCTTTTTATTGGCACATTTGCAGTTCTCCATTATTCTAAATTATATAAATTGAAATATCTATATTATTCATATTATTAGTGTGTAGTAATATCTTTAAAAAGATGAAGTGTGGAGAACTGAAAAGTTTAGGGAAGTTTTAATTAAAGGTTGTCATTTACTATTTCTGATGAAACCCCTTTAATGGCATGTTTTGGGAAATGGATGAACTTGAGGTTTTTTGTATTACACATAATAGGTTTGGCTAGTATGAACTTAATTGATATGTTTAATGTAATAAATTGGCAAATGGCTATAATTAAATTTTTGATTGATTGTACTCTACGAAATAGGGGTTCTTTAAGGAGACGTGTACTCATGTCCTCCAAAATGTTTCATTTGATGAAGATGTACTTTTCTTGTTTTATCATATCCTCACTGCTTGCATCTTCATCTTACAGGAGATGCAGTATGTGATTCCATTTGTGGCTAAGGTGATGGAATCCTGTGCCAAGAGCCGAGTGTTTAAACCACCAAACCCATGGACCATGGCTATAATGAATGTCCTTGCAGAGCTTCACAAAGAACCAGATATGAAGCTTCATCTCAAGTTTGAGATTGAGGTGCTGTGTAACAAGTTGGAGATCAATCTGGAAGTAAGTTATTTGTTTAGTTATTGAGATGTTTGGTTATCAGTGGTGGTAAATATACTGTAAGGATATATTTTATTTCATTCCTAAATTTTAAGCAGAGAATAAAAAGCATTATGAACTTTTAAAAAGAGGAACTTTTCTAAAATGTATTAAAGGAATTGAAGCCTGCTAATGTGTTGAATGACCGAGACCGGATTGCCCGCCTTAAACCCCAGTTGTCACAGCCGGGTGGATCTAAGCGAGCAGAGTCAACTCCTCTCTTTCCTGCTCTTCAGGGTTTTTCTTCTACTCCTTTTATGCGTAAGTTAATTTATATTATTTTATACCAGATTTGTTATTCATTTACTGTTGGTGGTAATTTGTTAAGGTAAGCTCAGAGATACAGAATGTCAGATTATGTTAAAGATTTTACGATACTAATTTGGTAATGTCATTATCTTGCTTAAAGGCAAAGAAGTGTCAAGGTAATAAAGGTGAGTCGGATAATTACTGAGAAAAAATGCAAAATAATTTTGTTTACATCTACAAATAGGAGTATCAGCAATGATGTGTAGATTAAGTACTTTATTCAGTAATGATAACATGATATTCAATTATTTAAGAAGTTGCATAAAAAAGTATGAACACTTCTCATTTTTCTTTTTTCTTCTTTTTTCCCTCTCCTCCCGACACAGCAAAGACAAGCTGGCCACAAGTTGCGCCACCAGGCGCTGTTGTAGATACAACTACCGTAACTGCTCAGAGTTCTTCTGTTGGTGCCACACCTACACCCCCAACAGTCCTGCCTCCACATCCCTCCACCACACCCACACCTATCCAAGCTCAACAGCAACCTGCCTCAGAGCCACGCTTTATTTACTCAGATATTAGTGTCGCTTCACTTAGAGGTTTGGATCCTCACATATCTGTCTCTGTACCTCAGGTGAGTAGCATATTCAATTACTCTATATCCGGGGTGATTCAGCAAAGAGTACATTAAATTGGAAGATGAAATCCCTGGATAATTCTAAACCACAATGTCTATGGTAAAATGTCAGATTCTGCATATGCCCACATGTTCGTGACAGGTGCGAACAAATTAAACATAGTCCAGGCATTCTGGAACGCGTCACACAATCAATGGTACAACGTGTACAGGCCTGCATTGAGGCAGAAGGGGGCAGTTTTGAACATTTCCTTTAGGTTGTAACATAGACGGGTCACACTGTAGAGATCTGTGATAAATGATTACAAAAACCGACAGGGGGTTTCACTTCAAATTCACTTTCATTAATACAGTAAAACATCTTAAATGCATTGTAACATGGAAACTATGCAGAATCTGACATTTTACCATAGAGACATTGTGGTTTAGAATTACCCAAGGATTTCATCCTCCAATTTAATGTACTCTGCTGAATCACCTTGTATATTTGAAGTTTATCCCCATAATGAGTTTTAAATTAAAGCTAATATAGAGATACTTTAGCCACATGAACATTTTAATATTGTGTTAGAATGCTTTGATCTGTAAATATATAAGAAATTACTTAATATTGCAAAACTTTCTTTTATTGTTTCATAATGGTTAAACAGAAAGAAAAACATTTATTAAATGATATTGCAGGTTTGTGGTGTTGCAACCAATGCACAGTTGAAACAGTTGGTTCGCCATGCCGTAGAGTTGGCCGTCCAAGAAATTGTTGCAGCAGTTATTGAACGCAGCATCAAGATTGCCATCACCACTGCAGAGCACATTATTAAGAAAGACTTTGCATTAGATCCAGATGAATCTCGGATGCGTGCTGCAACACATCACATGGTGCGGAACTTGACTGCTGCCATGGCCATGATTACCTGCAGGGACTATCTTGCAACTAATATTACGAAGAGCATCAAGCAGGGATTAATGCAAGCATTTTCCAGAGTATGTATGATCATTTTCTAAACAAGGTTCCCAGAGCCTTTAAATTTAATTTAAGGAAAATGCTTTATTACTTACTAGTATTTATTCCAGGACTTAATTTTATTTTTATTTTTTCCAGTAGTACGAGATACCGTACATTTCAGTGTTTTCATGTGTAACTTGTCATCACATTAACATTTGGCATAATGGCTACAGCACATTATTTAGTACTACTGTACTTATGAGATGGTACTCAAAACAAAGACAATAAGTTATTTTTGTATATTTTGTCAATGCTTATTAAAAAGTTGATTATTTATGACATGGCACCACTTTTAAAAATTTGGAATATAACCTGACTTGCTTCAGTATTTGATATTTTAAGGCAAGGGAAGTTACAGCAATCCTTCGCTAACCGTGGGTTAACTAACCACAGGTTTGAGATTCCACATTATATATTTTGTACACTGTTTTGCCAACTACAGTATCCAGTTTGGATATACAGTAGTGTTTCACTTTACCGGATTATTTATTGCATAGGATGGTCTGGTCTGGAACAACAGAAATTCTGGTATATTGAAGCTTTTCCCACAATTGTACACTTATGCTCCTTGCCATTACAATTTAACCTAGCATACTTGAACTGTAAGGGAGAAATCACTCGCAGTATTCATTATTACATATACTGTATATTGTATGTGTGGCAAAGTGACTATTTATGTTTTAAAGTAATAACTATTACTTTCATAATTTTTGAAGGAAATTCTGCTTAACAGATGTATGTTCGCTACAAAAAGTATCTGCATAATTTTTTGTTACACAATGAACGAAGGATTTTGACAACCCTACCGAGACAATGGGAGTCGCATTGTTCATTTTGACAACCATTGGACTCCACCTTGCAGATACTTTCTGTAGTGAGTGGACACCACTTGAATGAACACATAAAAAGTCATGAAATAATACATTGTGCCTTGTCAGCCCTCACTGAGGTAATGGCTTACATTATACTAACATCTGTTGTTATTCTGGTGTTCATTTAATTTTAATTGCATGAGACTTCCAAATCCAGTCTTAGGATGTTTCAAATGTGCAAGTATATGGTAATTCAGTATACAGTACAGGGGTATACTGCAATACAGGAACACCTCGGTTAACGTACAAGTTAGAGACCAAAGGACCAGTTTGTAAAGTGATTGTTTGGAACACAAAAGCTATTTCCCCATAAGAACAATGTAACTTTGGGTTGTGTTCTGAACCACCTCACAAAACCTCCATCTTTACTAAGATTCCACCTTCATTATCATAATATGAAGACTCGCTGTTTCAGGGTGGTAAGTTAAAATATTTTTTAGTATTTCCTTTTAAAAATTTGTCAGTTTAGTTACAATCATCCTGTGAGTGTTAGTCAATGTAAACAAAGTCGGGCACCCACTATACTATGCACTTGCCAGTCGACTTGGCACCCAGATTTGGAACCATTAATGTTTCATTTTATATAGGTGGAAGTGAATACTTAAAGGTAATTACCATATACAGGTACTGGTGTTCACAGATTAATATTTTCTTTTTTTTGCTTCATTGAAGAGGAATTAATGTTCATAAATTCAAGGGAACATTTGTATACAGCCAGTTCGGTTCTGGGAGGCTTGTTCATAACGTCAGTGTCGTAGCTTGAACATTTGTTAACTGGGGGTGCTCCTGTAATATGGTACCTGTTTAGAGAAGATAAAGCATGTATTATGATTTTGTAGGTAATGATTTAAGTTTATTAATTTGGAAATGAGATGCCATTCATATCATGCATGTAGACAAATGCTTGAAGAGTCTTTTTAACCACAGATGTCAGTCAGAGTTTCATAAATTCTCCGAAAAAGCAGCTGTAACAAATTAGGATCATCATTACATGTTTATTCTCTCTTCCTTCAGACCAACCCACAGCAGTTGCCTCAGCAGGTAGAGCAGATGGAGCAGCTGGCTGCGGCTATTGCTCAGGAGAATGTTGGCATTGCCTGTGCCTTTATCCAGAAGACTGCCGCAGAGAAGGCTGTTATTGAGATGGATAAGCGACTGTCACAAGTAATATGTTTTAATTACTGTATTGTTTTCCTTATTGATAATGACTTGAAAAATGTGGATTATCCGAGAAACTAATTCCCTTTATTTTGCCATATGTAGGAAAATTTGAATGACCTAACAACTGGACCAGGTTTTATGTTACTATCAAAGTGTACTGATTGAAAACCCAGATACACTTGTAACATTACTGTTTAATAGTAATCTATTGGTTTTGTCTTTAATAATATGGCCATTACTCTTTAAATTATGCAATTAGACCTCAGGACGTTGGCCCCTTGGGGTGATGAGGTTAGGTCGTCTAAATCTGTTAAGATATGATTTTCATTGTTTGGATTTGTTAAGCAACCTCAGCTTATTCAGGGTCTGTGGGAGTTCTTAGTAGTCCTAATACCTATAGTAAGGAGGAGCTCTTAGGAACAGAGTATTGTCACTATCTCTTCTCTGAATGATGAGTTGAATTCTGACTGTACATTGCATGTTGTTCCCCCATTTTAGGCCATCGGTATAGGTGGAAAAAAAGTGTAGTTTATCCTCTGGATTAACAGACTAACCAAATCAAAGCACTGTATGTATTCAAGGATCCCCTAGTAAGGCACCCTGCTTTATAAGAGCTGCCTGTATATGGGCACTGCCAAAAAGGAATTTCAGGACTAATCCTTTGTGTACAATGATTGGAATAGGGGAGATATAAATAATCAATGGTCTGGTCCAATCTTGGTCATTAAAAACAGTATCTGGATTAATCCTTCATGTTTGTATTATTACTATTTCTTCATAGATATAATGAGTCTTCATAATATACCTCAGTCATCTAGTCTGTGACTTGATAATTTATCCATTGCTACATATTAATACTGTTTT